GAGGCCCTGCCAGTGCAGGCTTCAAGGAAGCGTCCCTAACAGGATGCCCTTGAGCCAGGCCCTGAAGAGCGGGCGTCCAGAGGGGACCCAGCCAAACAGAAATGACCTGTTTGGCTGATGGCTCCTACAAATTTGGTTATGGGTCAAGACATGTCTGATACAAATAAGTTGACATTGGAGGCCATGAGTGTGGAGATCACTTTGCACCAAACAGACCTGGAGATGATCCTTTCTCCCCCTTTTACTAGTTGTGTTGACTGTGGACAAGCTAACCAAACTTTCCAAGCCTTGGTTGCCTCATCTGTAAAATGGACATAACAGTGATACTTACACCTAATGGGACTAGTGTAAGGATTTAATCAGATATGGTATAAAGCGTTTAATATTGCCCCTGGCTCACAGCAAATACTGTATAAATGTGAATGATGATGATGATGATGATGATTGGCAGTCACACTCTTCAATTCTGAGGATTCTGGATAAAAAAGGGGCCTCTGGGGCAACTGGATGGTTCAGTCGGTTAAGCGTCCGACTCTTGATTTCGGCTCAGGTCACGATCTCAGGGTCATGAGATCGAGCGCCAGAGTCAGGCTCCATACTCAGTGAGGAATCTGCTTGAAATTTCCTCTCTCCCTCTCCCTCTGCCCCCAACCCCGCTTGTTTGCACACTCTCTCTCTTTTAAAATAAATAAAATATTTTTTAAAAGTGGGGGGGCTACCTTCCCAGCCTCCTTCTGGTCTCTAATGACCCCTAGACTTAGGCACAAAACAAGTAAACAAGTGATACATTCTGGGTCCAAGGAGAAGAGGCTGCTGAAGACAAAAGAGATCCGTGTCATGTGGCGGTGGCAGGAGTAGGGAGTCTGAAGGAAATGGGCAGCAGCAGAATGATGGTTCTCTCTTTATGGTAGGTGAGGGGAGCCATGGTGTTGCCCAAGTTGGACTGGATTGAAGGATGAGCCAGATGCTTTCCTTTACATCTCTCATTGAACCTTCACAATGGCCCTATGTGTGCCTCATGATTCCTGTGTTACTAATGAAGAACCGAGGAAGCAGGAGACCCCAAGTCACATCACTGGAAGTGGCCGGCAGGGTTCCAAGTCAAGGCTGCCCTCCCCCTTCCAGTCCAGTCTATGTGGGCCGGGCTGGGCTAATGGGGCGGGGATAGGCTCAGGAGTCCATCCGGTGGCCTGTCCCAGGGCCCTGGAGTCTGTCCCCTCCTCTCCCACCTCTGCCCGGGTCTGGCCCATTGTAGGAGTCACCCATCCCGCCTCTCTCGCCATCCCCTTCCTCCCATCTGAGTTCACACCTCACTCGGGCGAGGAAACACAGCTGCCTGTGTCCTTCCCTGGGGTAAAGCCCTTCCATTTCCTGCAGGCTGGCTTCTCGCACTGGTCGGCGTCTTCAGCAGAGGAAGCAGCCATCTTCTTGGAGTGACAATCATGCTTGTTTTCAAATTATAACGAACTCATGCTGTAGAGTGGAATGCAAAATGCCCAGGGATTTTCTCCGAGTTGTTGTTTTGGGCTAAGCTTCAAAATAGATGTGTGTTGGTGGGAAGAGGAGTATCAGTCTTGAGGAAAAACACTTCACTGTAGCTCAGAGATGAACAGAAACTCACAGGCTGGTCCAGCAGGCCCTGGCACACTGGCATCCACAGCCTTCCCAGTCGTGCTTCCATGATGCCTAAGTGTGCTCTGTGCTCCAGCCAGACTGTCTTTCAGCCTTCTTCCTTACAGCTAGTGGTCACCTGCTTTCCCTCTGATTACACTGTCTTTCTTTTTTTTTTTTTTTTTTTAAAGATTTTATTTATTTATTTGAGAGAGAGAATGAGATAGAGAGCATGAGAGGGGGGAGAGTCAGAGGGAGAAGCAGACTCCCTGCCGAGCAGGGAGCCTGATGCGGGACTCGATCCTGGGACTCCAGGATTATGACCCGGGCCGAAGGCAGTCGCTTAACCAACTGAGCCACCCAGGCGCCCCCTACACTGTCTTTCTATCTCCCCTGTCATCCTGGGAAGCTCCTGGTTATCCTTTAAGGTCCATCTCCAGGTCCCCTCCTCCAAGAAGCCCTCTGTGATCCCACTCCCCACTCCGTGCAGTACAGCTCTTGCTCTCGGCTCTTCACAACTTCTTACCACAGTGATCCGGGGACCATCACTTTGAGAGGCAGACTCTCCAGGAGATTATGAGCAGCTTGAGGTCAGGAAGCTCACCATGAACTCTGACTTCACTTGTTCATTCAACACATATTCAGAGTCCCTCTGTGCCAGGCCATGGGCTCTGGATGAGGGAATGACTCAGTGTGTCCTTGGAAGGGGTCCAACCTGAGGAAGAGACAAACTATCTATTTATCTATCTATTCATTCACTCATTGATATATTAAAACAACAATCAAAAAGCAAAACGCTTTGCTAATCGCCAACTGGGTCAGGCCCTCTGGTCAAGGTTAAGGATACAGAAAAGAACAAAACCTGTGCCTACGCCCAAGGAGCTCCCAGTCTGATGACCAATGGCCAGTGCAAGCAAACCGCTAAGTGCATAGTCTGTCCCCAAGGCTGTGCAGCACCAGGGTAGGTGTAGAGTCCTTTTGCTTTAGGGTTTTGTTTTTTTTTTTTATGACACTGAATGAATGAATTTTTTGTGGGGTTTTTTTTCTGTTTTATGGAACTTGTAGGGTTCTAATCATGAATGAACTTTGTAAATAAAAAACCCAATAAATAACTGATCAAGTAATTGATTGAAATGTTATACCAGAAATTGCTGTGGCAATAGGGCTAGATTCTGGGTCTCCACCACCCCTGGACTTTCTCAATGGGGAGCAAATCTACTCTGACCATGGCTGGCTCCAGGCTGCAAAACCTCATGCAAACTCACAGTAAAATGCAGCAGTGCTCGGCCTGCCTCCCAAGGGAGTAGTAAGCATTAATTAGTTACCATTGGTAAAGTGCTCTGAAGATGTGGGGGGTGTATAAACACGGCAAGTCATTAGGCCTCTCCACACCACTATGCTCTACAGCCTGGGAACTGCTAATTGAGAAATAATTAACACCTCAGGGTGCAGAGGACGGATGCCTGGTGTTTCCAGGATTGGAAGGGATGTAATAACATGCATGGGAGCAGGGAGAAATATAAGGTTACTGTGGATCCTGATACTGAAGATTATTCACCTCCTGCCCCCAGAGAGGAGGCATGGGGAATATTGCCTCAGTAAAACCTTTAGGACTGCACTCCTTAGGGAAAGCCTGGACCACAGTGCTGAGCTGCAGAGGCCCAGTGACATTCTTAGAGCAAAAGAGCTCAAGTCCAGCCCAGCTCTGCCTGGCCTCCTAGCTGGAGGGCAGATGCCAGTCGTGGGGTTCACCCAAGCGGTATTTTCTTCCACTGTAAGGCCAAGGTGATGACACCCATCGACACTGCCCCCTGCAACCCAATGCCCCACCAGGCTGTCCAGTGCCTTTCCTGTAGACCAGCAGAACTAGCCCAGATTGCACATTAGATCATCTGGGGGACTACTGATGCTAAGTCCCACCCCAGACTAATACCTAGCATCTCTGGGCAGGGGGACCGGGGCACAGGGTGAGTTCAGTGCAGCTCAGGTTGAGAAGCACTGTTTTGGCCTGTGTGTTAGGAGCAGTAAACCCTCTGACACCCCACGATTCCCTCATACCAGCTCATTTCCTGATTCCCTGCCCGAGTGTCCTGGTCCCTCAGCCTGGCCATTCCACTCCGCTCCCACCACCATTCTTGTCCTGGGAAACTCGACTCATCCTTCAGGCTCAGCTCAAGGATCACCTCCGCAGTGAATTCCTCCTTCCCTACACTCCCACAGGACTTTCCTCGGCCCCTATTACACTGATCATATGGTGTTGCTCCTGGCAGATCTTGGGGTCTGAGAGCTTCTTGGGGCCAGTGTCTTGCACTGGGTCTGGCACATTTTAGGCACTCAATAGACTATGTCTGTTCTTAGTTAGCTTGAGTTACATGATATACAGCTCCCTCTTCAGGACATGTGTGCTTGTTCCCTGTGTCTAGAACATTCTTCCGCCAGATAGCTGCAAGGCTTTCTCACCTGCCAGTCTTTGCCAAAATGTCACTTTCTAGATGAGGCTTTCCCCAATCATCCTGAATTGCAACCACTCTACCTCCAACCCATTCCTTTTTCATAGTTATTTTTTTTCTCTATGGATGGATACTGATGGATCCTGTCTTTATTTAGAAGTTTGGTATTTTGTTTACCATGGATTTTTTTTACAATAATTTTAATTAATTGCATAAAAATACTACTACCTTTGGTTATGAGTTCCTGCTCCCCTTCCAAATTTCACTGTATTGATTTATTGACTCTTTTCACTAGAATGTAAGCCACCTTGAATGCAGGGAATTTTGTTTGTTTTGTTCACTCTTCCCAGTTTCTCCAAGTGGTTGGTACATGATAGCTCCTCAAAAAAATATTTTGTGAATTAAAGTTTGATTTAGTGTCTTAAACACTGTCTTGGACTTTGTAATGAAGGCATTTTTTTGTTTAAAAATTTTTAATGTATTTAAATTGAAAGCCTGTAGAATCCTAGGGTAGATTCCAAACGGAAAGGCCCACTGTTGCCTTGGTTACACCGCTGCCAGCCTTTCCATTTCGAGAGTGCAGAGGCCCCTGGCAGAGGGAGGGAACGCCAGGCTTTTATCATAGAGTTACACCTCCCTAAATCCTAGAGGGCACTTCCGGAACGGTAATTTACTCTTCGCTGTCCAAGCCAATCTATGGTCGTGGAGTAGAGCCGGGCTCTTTCTCCTTAGCTAAACTTCCGGAAAACCTCTCACAGGAGTCTAGAGTGGTGGGGTGGGGGGGTGGGGGGGGGGGCCAGTCTCCGTGAGAGCGGCTTTGTGATTGGCAAGAAAGTCAGGAGGCGGGGCTTGGGGCGGGCACGCCCTGGCGCAGGCGCGTTGGGCCGGCGGGGCGGACGCGCGGGCGGCGTTGACTGGCACTTCAGTTGGTGAGCGTGGGTGACAGCGAGGATTGGGCGGGGGCGGCGCGGGGAAGAGAGGCTCGGGCTCGGTGTCGGTTCTAGGCGCGGAGACGTAGGCCCTTGGTGGCTGTGTTTCCACGTGCGCGCCGTCCTTGGTTTGGGGCGGGGTCGCAATCACCTGAACTCCGGGTTAATGTGTTTCGTCGGTTGTAGCCTGAGGGCAGACCTTCCTCCCCGTGGACCTCGGGTCTTGTGAGTGTCACGGTGTCCCCGGAAGTGCCGGCCCTGGAGAGACCCTCTGGGAGCGTCTGGTGGCCCGGCCAGCCTTCCCATTTTACGTGCGGGGAGACAGGCCTGGAGACCGAAGTCACTTGACCAGGGTCGCGCAGCCAGTGAAGGCCGAGCCGATTTGTAGAACTAGGCCTGGAGTTCGTTGCTGTTCGGTGCAGCACGGTCCGAGACGGAAACCGTGGAACCTGGAGGCGAGGACCTAGCATTCCAGGTGTGCCCTGTGCTCTTCTGCAGTGTCGCTGGGCCGGTGACCGCACATCCCTGAGTTTACCTCGTCTGTGAGTTGGGCATAATGATAGCAAACACTAGCGCTTACTATGTATCAGGCGCTGTTGGCAGCGCTTTACGCACGGCTTTCCTGATTGGATTGCAGGGCCATTGTGAGTTAACCTTAAAAGAGGCCTGTGCCCCCAAGGACCTGAGTAGCTGCTCTGTAAAAATTTGTTGAATGACTCAAGCTCTTTGCCAGAGTCTGAGGTGCAGGACACGTTACTTCCTATACTGTTTCTGAGGCATTGTCTGTAGATAACCTTGAGAATTTGGGATAAGAGTAATTATTCTCCCTTCTGTGTAAGCTGAGGGTCTGAGAACAGGGACACATTGGGGGTGAGGGCAGAGAGCTCACGTCTTTTATTTAAACTATCCAGGTAATTGTCGCATTGCACCCCTTCACTTTGCTTTTCATTCACTAATATACCTGATCAGCAAACATTATTAATAGCCTAAATATTAGGCACTGTGCTAGGCCCTGAAATCTGACAATGTAGAAAGCATCATGAACTCCTCGTTTAATGGAGGACTAGGACATGAAGCATTGCTCACTCCCAGTGCCTGGCACAGCAGTTTTCTCAGAAATATTTTTGAAAATTATTCCAGAGCCGTAAACTATAAAGAGGTGTGTGCAGTGGGGGCACAGAGAAGGAAGTGTAATTATCTCTGTTTGGAGGGGTTGGAGAAGCTTCTTGCAATAAGGAGCCTTGAATGTTGCAGTTGATGGGGTGCAGCCGGCCTCTTCCAGGAATGATGAGCAGTTCGGGGCATGTTAGGGGAGTGGTAGGATAAAAAGCTGGAAGAGGTGTGTTAGGATCAAAATATGAAGAGGCTTCCTATGGCAGTACCATCCCAAGGAAATTAGGATGGGGAGCCAGTCATGGGTTATAAGCAGGGGAGTGATTGGATCAACTGTCTTTTTAGCTGTAATCTGGAGACAGGACAGACAGGGTTTAAGAGTCATTCAGTTCAGTCATTGATGGACATTTATTGAGTGTCCACTGTGGGCAGGCCCCATGCGGATGCTACAGATGCAACTTGGAATAAGACAGACCCGGTTACTGCCCACGTGGAGTGCTTCTCCCAGTGTGGTCCCTAGACCAACAGTATCAGCATCACCTGGAAACTCGTTAGAACTACAGTTTCTCTGCCCACTCCCCAGGCCTACTGAATCAAACTCTGGGGCTGAGTCCCCACAATCAGTGTTTTAACAAGCCATCCACGTGATTCTGATGCTCACTTAAGTTTCACAACCACTGGGCTACTGTAATGGACCAAGCATTTTTGAGGCGCTAACCCAGAATAGAGGCAGTAAGAGCCAGGAAGGAGGGGGTGGACTTGAGAGGAAGGTCAGAGACAGACTCGTTTGCTTTAGGAGGAGTCAAGGAGGAAGGAGTTTCTGGTATGAGCCCCTGGCCTGAGGTGGGACCTGAAGTAAGTGAGTGAGCCAGATGTGAACCATGTGTACCTACCTCCGGGGCTCACACTTTTCCACTCAGTCCCATCAGGGCTCTGTGGTAGTGCGTTCCAACCTGTCTCAGGCCACAGGCCACATAGGAAATGGTAATATTTGTACTGTGCACGGGGGAAATGGATGAGGCTTCCTGAGGTGGTAGGGGACCAGCTGGAGGACTTGAGGCCATTGGGAGCTGGAGGGGGCCGGCCGCCCAAGGGTTCCAGGCTCCAGAACTGAGAGGAGGCAACAGCCCATTTTCAGCATACTGCAGGGCAGCTCTGCTTCATGGGAGATGCTGAAGGGTAGAGGCGCTCACTGAACTTGGCAATATAAATCAGGAACCTTAAAAGAGTTCGTATGTGTTGACTCAGTAATTCCATTCCTGAGAATCTGTCCCAAATGTACCACAAACAAACAAAAGCCTTCTGTTCATTGTAGATTGTATATAACAGAGAAAATGACAACTCTCGTAATAGGAGAATCATTTCTGATATGCTTAATGGAATGTTGTACTGCCATCAGGAATGTGAATGTTTTGTAAAATCATAGAGAAACACATGTGCTCATTCAGTAGACTGTCTAGTAAAGCCCTGCTCCGTGCTGAGTGGCAAGCAAGTTAGATATGGTCCTTGGCCGCACAGAGCTGCATGCCTGGGGGGAAGACAGGCAGCTACCCGAGCAGTCACTCTGAGAGTGATCGGTGATCAGTAGGGGCTGCTGTGGGAGAAGCTGGCCTTCTGGGCGGGGGCGTGGGACAAGGAAGGCATCCTAGAGGACAGGATGGTGATCCCGAGGCCGGGAGGATAAGTAGGTGCTGGTATGCAAGGGGCACAATGTGTTTTAGAGTGAGCATGGCACAGTTGGAACAGGGAAAGGGCTATTGATGAGGCCAGCAGCAATTTATTTGTTTTTCCCAGTTTTCTGTAATAACAATAGCAAACATTGATTGTACTCATAGAATGTGTCAGGTACTGTTCAGTTAACTTTTTATAACTCTTCTAAATCCCCACAATAAACCTACAAGGTAGGTCCTGTTGTATTACCATTTAGCAGATGAAGAAACTGAGCACAGAGGGGTTAAGTCATGCGTCCCGAGCTACACAGGGTGCAGTCAGCAAGAAGCACTCCAGGAATCCAGGCTGCCTGATTCCAGAGCCTGTGTGCAGTCCCATGCAGTGGTGTCTCCACAGTATGCTGTTAAAATTTTATTAATGTGAAAATATTGATTTCCTTTTTTTAAACGAAAGGTAGGACTTAAATCTGCTAGAAAATTAGAAATGAAAGAGTTTGCATCTGCAAAGTCGGTGGCTGTCTTAGAAGTGTGTGTTGGAGACCAGACTGAGCTGGCTGCGTGGACACCGTTAACGCTTATCTCTGCCCGGCTTGTCTCTCTCCAGGCACAAGTGCTTCTCTGGGCCGGGTGTCATGAAAGGCCTGCTGTCAAGATGCAGAGCACTGCCCGTCCTGGCCACCTGCAGCCACCAGCTCTCTGGGTCCGGTCCTCACAGGTTTTACCACTGTGACCCCGAGAGAGGGAAGCGCTTGGTGCTGTCTCGCATGTTCCAGCCCCAGAACCTTCGGGAAGACCAGGTGCTCTCTCTCGAGGGCACATCTGGCGACCTGACCTGTAAGAGCCAGCGGTTGATGCTGCACATGGGCCTGATCCACCCAGCAAGCCCCGGCTGTTACCACCTCCTGCCTTACACCGTGCGAGCCATGGAGAAGCTCGAGCGGCTGGTAGACCAGGAGATGCGGGCCATCGGGGGGCAGAAGGTCAACATGCCCAGCCTCAGCCCAGGGGAGCTCTGGCGAGCCACCAACCGGTGGGACCTCATGGGCAAGGAGCTGCTAAGACTTAGAGACAGACATGGCAAGGAATACTGCTTGGGACCCACTCACGAGGAAGCCGTCACAGCCCTGGTCGCCTCCCAGAAGACAGTGTCCTACAAGCAGCTCCCGTTCCTGCTGTACCAGGTGACAAGGAAGTTTCGGGACGAGCCCAGGCCCCGCTTTGGTCTTCTCCGTGGCCGGGAGTTTTACATGAAGGACATGTACAGCTTCGACTCCTCCCCGGAGGCCGCCCTGCACACCTACGGCCTGGTGTGCGAGGCCTACGGCAGCCTGTTCCGCAGGCTGGGGCTGCGGTGTGTCAGGGTCCAGGCGGACGTGGGCAGCATCGGGGGCACCGCGTCTCACGAGTTCCAGCTCCCGGCCGACATCGGGGAGGACCGGTTTGCCGTCTGTCCCGGCTGCGGCTTCTCAGCCAACATGGAGACACTGCGCTGGCCGCAGACTGACTGCCCGGCCTGCCGGGGCCCACTGACCGAGGCCAGAGGCATCGAGGTGGGGCACACGTTTTACCTGGGCACCAAGTACTCCTCCATTTTCAATGCCCAGTTCACTGATGCCCAGGGCAGGCCGTGCCTGGCTGAGATGGGCTGCTACGGCCTGGGCGTGACGCGGATATTGGCCGCTGCCATTGAAGTGCTGTCTACGGAGGACTGTGTTCGCTGGCCCGGCCTCCTGGCGCCTTACCAGCTGTGCCTCATCCCCCCGAAGAAGGGCAGTAAGGAGGAGGCGGCCGCCGAGCTCATGGACCACCTGTACGACCTCATCACGGAGGCCTTGCCACAGCTCCGCGGGGAGGTCCTGCTCGACGACAGGACCCATCGGACCATTGGAAACAGACTAAAAGACGCCAACAAGTTTGGCTACCCCTTCGTGATCATTGCGGGCAAGAGGGCCCTGGAGGACCCGGCACATTTTGAAGTTTGGAGCCAGAACACCGGTGAGGTGCTCTTCCTCACCAGAGAGGGAGTCACGGAATTTCTGAGCCAAGTGCAGGTTGTCTGAAAGCCCTGAGCCACTCCCACCCCATCCTGCAGCCTTGGTGTTCATTCTAATGCTGCCTTTTCCTACACTCCCTTCCAGGGCCGGTCTCTCCAGAAACAAGGCAGCTCATGGAAGGCGGGAGCGTGTTAGGGAAACTGACTTCTATCCAGTCCTTTGTTTAGACTATTTGTATTTCAAGTCGGTGATTCCATTCTCTGGGCTGACCTTGCTGCCACATACCATTCCTCTTCCATTCCAGTGTGGAGCTTCTGTGAGGAGGCAGGGGGCAAGAAAGAGCTGCTCCTCTTGGCCCTTGGGTGAGTCACTTCCCTTCTCATGTAGAGGGTGGGAGTGGCCGGTGGCCAAGGCCCTCCCAGCTCCAGCAGTCTGACCCCTGGCCTCTTGCTGCACTTTGGTCTGAAGAGCAGGCCCACCAGCCCTGCTCCACTTGGACAAGTCCCTTCTCCTGCTGGGGCCTCAGATTCCCCATCTGTGACATGAGAAAATGGAACTAGATCTCTAAAGTCCTTACAGCTGTCGCCGGCGGATTCCACAAGAGGTTCATGACAGGCAGATCTGGTTCCTCTGATCCTCCATAGTCTAAGCTACATAGAAAGTTGATAGAATTAGCTAATCGCCCAAAACACCACCTCCAGAGATGTGGCCCTATTGAGGCGGCTGAGTGCTGAGATCCTGTTCTGCTCATTGAATAAAGTCAGGCTACCGGGACGAGCCTTGCCTGTTCATGAACGGTGGTAAGGCCTGCCGTTTTCACCGTGAGCGGCTTCCTACCTGAGACTCTTCTGTCCTTTCTTTTTCTACTATTTCTACACTCTACTCGAATAAAAAAACCCTACCTTTGGTGGCTGGGAGTATGTTTGAAACCATTTCCTCCCCCAGATGTGAGGGATAGCAGGCTTCCGGTGTCACGGTGAGCTTGTCCTGGGAGCAGAGCTGGGTCCTAGAGCCACGCCAGGGGGCACATACCAAGGTGTCTGCCTGAATTCTGTGGGAAACCAGGATCAGACTTGAGCTACCTCAGCATACTGCACTTCTTGCTTCCCAGCAGGGTGTTACTGCTCCCACAGTTACTGCCCAAGCACGCACCATCAGGTTTCCTAATGTATGTGGCAAGCCCTGATGGCCCCCAGACCTACCGCTGGCACTCTGGGCCCAGCATTTGGGCCAGGAGATGCACATTCTGACATCAAACCTAGAAAGGCTGGATTGTAAGTCAGGGGACCTTCCCCTTGGCTACACTTTGGTCCCACCCAGTTCTGGTTAGGGTCTGGGGTGTGGCCTGGGCATCGTGCATTTTAAAGCTCCGTAGATGATTCTAATGTGCAGAGTTGATTCATGGTTCCCAGCGTACTTCCAGGCAGTGGCCGTCCCTGAGTGGCTTTGTAGCTGAGTGTTTCTTTGAGTCATTTGCTCTGTACATTATCAGATGATGTGCGTGCTCTGCTTTTAATGGTCTGCTCATTTATTTGTTGAGGGCCTGCCACATACCACTGTGCTGTGAGGCACTTTTATATATCCTTTTCATACCTTCAACTGTGCAAGGTGGGTGCTGTTCTTCTTTTACAGATGAGGAACCTGAAGCTCCATTCAGCAGCTTGAGGATGCCCAGTGTCAGAACTAGAATCCGAGTATTGACCAACACCTGTGCCGTTCCCATCACAACTGCATGGCCTCTGCCTAGACGGAAGTGATTTCAGTAAACAAAACTGAATTATTTATGTCTATCTAATCGAGTTAGCCCCAAAGAGATGAGCACTTAGAATTTGTGCAAATTTGTCTTAATATTTTAAAAAATTTAATTCTTAACTGAAGTATAGTTGACACACAGGGTTCCATTCATGTCAGGCGTACACTATAGTGACTCAGTACCTACTTGACGCTGTGCTCACCGCAAATGTAGCCGCCATCTGTCACCATACACTAGTACATGCCACTGACTATATTCCCTGTGCTGTACCTTTTATCCCTGTGTCCTATTCGTTCCATAACTGGAAGCCTGTACCTCCCACTCACCTTTTTTTAATTTAATTTATGGAAGTTGGAGGGCTAGCCTAATGTAAGCACTTTTTTTTTTTTTTTTAAGATTTGATTTATTTGATAGAGACACAGAGAGAGCAGGAACACAAGCAGGGGGAGCGGGAGAGGGAGAAGCAGGCTCCCCGCTGAGGCGGGAGCCCGATGCGGGGCTCGATCCCAGGACCCTGGGATCATGACCTGAGCCGAAGGCAGACGCTTAACGACTGAGCCACCCAGGTGCCCCTGTAAGCACTTTTTAAAACGAGATTTCAAGAATAGAGAACCAATTAACTTTAAACTCTTCATAAATGTTCGAGTCACAGAAGAGTTTGAGGACGATACAGAATCATGGAAGTTTAGAACAGGAGGACTTGGGGCCCGCCTGTCCATCCCTCCTTTCACAGATGGGAAGCAAGCCTGGGGTGGGAATTAACCTGCCACACACCATCTGACTGGCAGAACACCTGACTGCAGGCCACGAGCTGTGTCCCCTAAATCAGGCTACCTCTAGTCGCTCTTGAGAAGTCTGGCTAGATCAGCCTCTGAACTACAAAAGCCTTGTAGGTGTGAAACAGGTACTGTCCTTTATTTTCCAAGGGAGACAAATACAGGGAGTACCATGACTGGCTCAAGGGCAAGCTGAACGGAAACCCAGGTGCCCTGATTACTAAGCCAGCATGTCTTCTAAGAAGCCAGGGGCAGTACGCTCTGGTGGAAAGACCAGAACCTGGAAGAGACATACTCCTAGATCCACCACTTACCAGGGATGTGACCTTAGACAAATTACTTGCCCTTCATGCGTCTCCGCTTCTTCATCTGTAAGATGTGCTCACGGCAGTGCACCTCCCAGGGGGTTGCCTAAGCTCGCTTACGTGAAATACTTAACCCTGTGCTGTCAGGAAACACTTCCTTCACCCCAGACGACTTAGGATCTGCTGGTAACGTATCTCAAGAGCTGGATCTAGTTTTCTTGATGTGATGCTTTATAACCTTCCTGGGGAGTGCCACGGGGGCAAGAATTAAGTGACACCCATGGAATGGCTCCATCGCCTTAGAGGAAAGACAGATACTCAGACCGTGTACCTTACTCTCTCCTGTCCGAATTTGCCAATGTTACCTCTTGCCATAAATTGATGAAATGGGGATGCTGGCAAAATAACAGACATAGGGGGCGCCTGGGTGGCTCAGTTGGTTAAGCGACTGCCTTCGGCTCAGGTCATGATCCTGGAGTCCCTGAATCGAGTCCCGCATCGGGCTCCCTGCTCGGCGGGGAGTCTGCTTCTCCCTCTGACCCTCCCCCCTCTCATGTGTTCTCTCTTTCTCATTCTTTCTCTCTCAAATAAATAAATAAAATCTTTAAAAAAAAAAAATAACAGACATAGGATGTATTATCATTGCTCATTCCTTGGGGAGATCTAGAAGGAACTGGCTGGGAAATATTTAGCAGAATTAATACTTGGGGACAAAAGCTGGTGCATAACAAAACCATTGTGTAAATCAAGCCTGGAATGTAAATCAAGGGCTCCATTAGTATTCTGTGTTTTAATGGAAGAAACACCTGCTGGGCTATCAGTAAAGACTTGCAGAAATCTGTTGAAATTGTCGTTTGCTTAACTATTTGAGTGCCAGGGAACTTCACAGAGTTCCCACCATCCATTTCTACACCAAGATGCCAGAATGCTTTTTAGAATGGATTACTATGCATCCAAGGGCATGTAAGGTTTTGTTTTAGAGTTAGGAAAAGTTTTATAATGTGGAAAATGGTGAACTTTTTATGATGTTATTGCAAACTTAAAACTTGAAAAAACTCAAGATGCTGCACTTAATTTGAAGTAATGACATACCTCATAGTGACCCACACTAGACACTGTGGAGTCAGACTGCCTAGGCCACTTGATAGCTATCTGACCTTGTGCGAGATGCTTCCTCGCGCTTCCTGCGTACACCAGGGACAACAGTGGCTCACAGCAGGGTAAGTGGCAGCTGCCCTTACACTAGGCCAGTTAGCCCTTTGCATGTCGTGGGCGGGGGTGCATGTGGGCCAGCAGAATGGGGTGGCATCTTTAGGGTCCCCCTGTTCAGATACCACTTTGGTGCAGGGATGATGTCCACTCCTGTTAAGCCCGCCGCTCTGAAGGCTGCTAATGAGCTTCCATGGTTAAAGCCTAATTGCTCTTGGCTAAATAAAACTGTAGGACTAGGAGAGTGAGGAAGAAGCACTTAACTGGTTAATGGTGACTGAGGACACGCCATTTGCAAGGGAAGAACTTGTCACCCAGGCTCACCCAGAAAGCTCGTGGGCTGACAGGAGCCCTACTGGCAGGTTGTCGAGTGCTGTGGGGAGTCCGCTGCGGGCTCTGGCAGTCTGGCTCTGCAGGCTAGACTCTTCTGCCCAGGCAGTTTGGGGACATTGCATGACACTGAATGCCAAGACTTGACCACAGCACTGGAGTGAACAGGCAAGGGCAGCTGGGTCTCATGCCAACTCTTCAAAGGCAGAGGCCCAGTCTTATTGTTGGCAGGTATCTCTTGAGGGGCTTAGGGGAGTCATCAATTGAAATCCTGGCTCTGCTTTTCACTAGCTAGCTAACTTTGGGCAAGTTACTTAGCCTCTCTGTACCCCTTTCCTTGTCAGTAAAATGGTACTGTAAACTACTAGCCTGCTCGAAGTGTCAGGCGGAGTGAGCAAGCCAGTCCGCATAAAGCACCAAGAACACGGTCTGGCGCCTCCTCAGGGCTCAGTAGATGGCAGCTGTTACTAGCGAGCCAGGCCATTATGCACGCCCCCTGGAACATGCTCCTTGCCTTTGCTTCGGGGTCCTAACAACCCACACTCACCACCCTTCCCAGGTCCCTCTCCCAACTTCATGGCCCATATCCATCATGGGTGGTGGCTTCCACCCATCTGTTGAGAATTCACCACCCCTTCCTCTGGGCCTTCGGTTAGTAATTATTTGTGTACCTACTATGTGCTGAGCAGGTGCTGGGCCAGGTGCTGGCAGGACAAATGTGCACAGGTCAGGGTCCCTGATTCAGTTTACAAAGAACTGGGAGGAACCATCCAGTAAGCAGACAATTAAAATGCAGTGTGGCAAGTGTGGTAATGGTACAGGTGCCATGGGACATGTGGGATAGGGGGCCGGGAAGACTTCCTGGAGGAGGCAGCCAGGCCTGGTTAAGGACTAGATGTTAAACAGGAAAGGGAGGAATAGTTGGGGGTGGAGGCAAGGGTGCAAGTGAGAGTAAGAATGCTCCAGGCAGAGGGAGCAGAATGTGCAAAGGTCCAAAGCTAAGAGCATGGCATGATTGGAGAATAAAAAAATAATTGTCCTAGAGTGAGCACTTAGTTTGAGGCAAGCTGTTCCATGGGCGTCACATAGATTAATTCATACAGTCCTCACAGCACCTGTGTGAGGGAGGTGCTATTATGCTTTGTGTGGCACATGAGGAAACTGAGGCACAGGGCCTGAGGCCATCAGCTAATGAGTTGCGGGGCTGGAATTGGAAGGCAGGTAGCCTGGCTCCAGAGTGAGACTCAGGCCACTGCACCCTGCTGCCCCAGAGCTGAACCATGTCTGGGATGGCTGGGCTAAGGTGGGAGAGAGGAAGCCGCAGGGGTGGGTAGGGGCTAGACCCTAAAGGGCCTTGAGTGCCACACCAAGCATGTTGGTGAGGGAAGGGGGAGCCGCTGAGGGCTCCCAGCAGGGGTGAGGACTTGCTTGTTGTGGCTTCATTTCTAGTCCTAGCCTCCATGGCCGGCTCCTCAGTTTGCGCTCTACCACTCCCCTAGAGACCAGAGGATGGCGGAGGTCAGAGAAGGCAGGGCCCATGGGCCAGGGAGGCCAGAAGTCTTCTTGGAGAGGGTGCAAGGCAGGCACACGGGCTTGAGCCCGGGAATGCCATTGCTCATGCTTGTGTGTGTGCAGATGGGTCCTTGGAACAGAACTCTGGTTTATTTTTTCATTCATTAGTTCATTCATCCATCCACTCATCAGCGCACACACACAGCTCCCTAGGTGTCACAATCACTGTGTGTCAGGCCTGGGCACTAAGACAAATCCCCATCTGGCCTCTGCCCATTGAGAGCTTTCCTTCTGGAAGTTTTTGTGCAGTGTTTCTCAAACTCAGCATTATTGACAGTTTGTCAGACGATGCTGTGTTGTGGGGGCTGTCCTGTGCACTCAAGGATATTTAACAGCATCCCTGGCCTCTACCCATAGATGCCAGTAGCATCCCACCAAGTTTTGACAACCAAAAATGTCTCTAGACATTGACAGGTGTGCCCTGGGGTGCAAGTCACCCCTGTTGAGACTTGTTGGTCTGATGCTGCTGATCTGCACAGAGGTGCGATGGACAAGCCTATCAGGTAGGTGTGGTGACTCACTGAGAGGGAGGCCCCGAGCAGTCCGTCCTCACAGGCACGGCAAGTCAGCAGCTACCAGGGTCCCAGCTGTGGTCTGCAGTCTGCCATGCTAAGTCACTCCTCCCCTTTCTACTTCTGCTCCCCCTAGCCAGATAGAGGGGCAGGGCCGAGCCAGGAGCCCAAAGGAAGGACTGGGTGGTCGGGATGAAGGTCTCAGAACTTGGTTTCTCAGGGGTGTCCAGGAAAGAGCTGAGTAAGCCGTCTGCTTCACAGATGAGTGAGGTGGCACACTGGGACCCGCTCTGCCCCAGGACAGTGAGGCTGCTGCACTGGCCGCCAGGGTTGCTGCTGACCAACTGTTCGGCCTCGTACATAGAGTGCCAAGTTCTTACAAAGACAGCCAGTCAGTCAGTCTCTAGCTGGGAGAGCCTCGGTCTGGCCTAAGCCAGGCGAGGGTGGAGGCGGGACTTCAGCTTCCAGGCCACAAGCCACATGCAGGGACGCGCACCTGGAAGGAGAGCTGCGTGGTTGTCAATATTCCACAGCAAACTGCCCTTCAAAGACAGTAAAGCACACAGCACAAAACCTCAAATTAGTCCATCTTAAGGACAGCAGCTGGTTTCAGTTTAATGATGTATTACTTAGCTTTGCTACAGTAACAACCCCCAAATCTCATTTATTTCTCATTCACGTTACAATCAACGGCTGCAGTCAGCTCCTTCAGCTCTGCTCCATGTCTTACCATTCTGGCACCCAGGCTGATGGAACAGCCGCTAGCTGGGAAGCATGAACGCACCACGCAATGCTCTCCGGCCTCCCGTCTGGACGAGCCCACCCCCGTCCCTTTGCCTCCCCCGTGGGATGGGGCGGATACTGCAAGCAGTCCCGTGGCTACACCCTCTAGGAAAGAGGGAGCGAACAGCTGCACACACAAATACAACCTATGACAATGACTCAACTGCCAAAAGATGTTTAAAAGGCACAAAATCCTAAAATGTGAAAACTGGAGAGGAACTCAAGAGTCCACCATCCAAGTCTGTCAGTTTGCCCTACTACACAGATCAGGAAAACTGGTAAACTTTCTAGGGGTTTTGCAGGATCCCGGTTTGTAGGTCTTTACAGGTGCAAAAACAGGAGCCAGCTTTCGTGACCTCATCTCACTCCAAGAACAGTATCCCCAAAGAGCAAGCCTCTCGGCTCACGAGAACCTGGAGGTTGGAGTCCCTCAGCCTGAATGCCTTAAAATTATTTGTGTGGTTTGTGTATACGCGTGGTTTGAGGGGTAGCTTCTCTGAGGCCTCTAACATCATAAAGGTCCAGCCAACTGGATCCTGAGTCTGTGTCCACAGGCCAGGACTTCCTCAGGTCAGCTGCTGTGGTGACTATAAGATGGTCCCTTCAGGGATAGAGGCTGGTGGTAACACAGCTCACAGTGAGTCCAAGGATGTCATGACCAAGGTACAGAGTTGTGTATCAACAGAATAGACTGGAGACCAGCTGGAGCTTGGCACTTTGACCAGAGAGAATGTAGTTCAGGGAAGTCAGCAGCTCTCCCCCCGCCACTGTCCCCAGGGTGGCAGAAATAAAGTGTAGGGCTCAGCTGATTCAAATGTGCTGGATTTCAGGCAGAGGCGAATGAGGGAGGAGATCCAGGGGCCCTGGCTCCGCCTGGCTTGGTTACTTCACCTGGTGCACTTTTCTCCCCTGGAGGTAATTCCTACAAAAAGCAGAGGATCCTACACAGACCAAAAATGCTGGTGTCAGGGCTTTTACAAAGTACCTGCAGTGAACACAACAGAAGAAGGGGTTAACTGAATTGTGATCTTAATCATCCATGCACCTCCCCAACCACATTCAAGGTGAACCTTTGGATGTGAGTCAACATTAAAATGCAAGTTTAGCACATTTATTTTTTTGGTGGTTTACGTATCTGGCAAATTAGCATGATCCTCTCCCCCCTACAACCTAGCCAGAACATTTGGGCCAGTCCTCTAGCATCATGTATGCCTGTGGCTAAACATGAAATCAAACTATGAGAACATGCTTACTTGCTTTCATGCATTCATTCCTTCACTCAACAGTGCATGCCCAGGGTAACTTGGGCCCTGTGCTAAAAACAAAACCCATCATCCCTGCTTTCAAGTCCTGAGGGGAGGGAGATAAGTAATCAATTAATGACAGCAAAAACAACTGTAGAAGCATTTGTGAGGTACAGCGTTAGTCCAAAGGGCATGATTCCCTCTCTAGGAAAGGGGAATCAAGAAAAGCTTCCTGGAAGATGCCTTGTCCATCTTGACTTTAATTTAGAAGAGGAGTAGTGATGAGGCACGGGGGAGCAAAAGCGAGGAAGTGCAGGGCACCAGAGCATTTGCTGTTGTTGGGGCATAAAGCAAGTGGAGTGGGGCAGGTCGGAGAGGTGGGCAAGGCTTTGGCCTCCCAGATTGAAGAGTGTTAGCATTACCCAATGTGCCTGGATCTGGACCGAGGCGGGGCAGGGGCTGTTTCTTAGCTCCACTCAGTTCAGGGTCTGAAGTTGCCAGAATCCTGTCCTGAGTAGCCTCTTACCTATGTCAGTCATTTAAGAAGTAAACATTTCTAATAGCATTTACATTTTCTGAGAAGCATGAAATTGGCTTTCCTCCACAGATTTACTTTGTTTAGATTTCTCCCCCATTTTTTGGATGGGGAGAGTGGACCTCAGGCCTTTAAAGAATTATGGTAATAATTTGCTAAATAATGGAAAAAAATTGTCTAGAAACTAGAAGGGAGATTTAGTGCCAGGAAAAAAACCCTGCTAAAAGAAGTCATCATTCATATCTGAAGAAATCTTCACCTCCTGCCTGACAAGCCAAAGCAGAAGCATCAAGAGACCAGCTGGACTTCCTACCAGGTCAGTCACCACATCACCAATTCCCATCCAGTCTGCCTCTGAAATCTCTTTGCCAATCCACCCCTCACCTCATGCATCACCATCAACTAGTACACATAAAATCTATATACTACTCTGTAAATTTTACCTACACATTCTCTGTGGCTCCATATACCACTATCAGGATAAAGTATGCTCCTGAGCAGGGCATTCAAGGCTTTCCTGAATGGCCCTAGCCCAGCTCTCCAGCCTCTTTCCTACCATGCCCAACTACCCTCATGCCCAATACATCGGGCTCCTTTAGCCTAAACGCGAGAGCATTTGCTTTGCTCAAAGCTTAGGGGAAAACAGTCCAAGAGTCAACTTACAAATCCACTGAGGGGATTCCTTTATGGTCCAGGAACACCCCAAAGCTGAACAAAGAGACAAAAGCCACATCCAGCTGGCTGCCATAGCTACTAACAAAGATGCACTCTTACAAAGACTGCCCTTTACAGTTTACAAAAGCACTTTGACTCCTGCTCTCTCACTGGCTCTCTAACACCAGAGAACAATGTAGGCAAGAATTAGTACTCCTACCCGAAAGATGAGGAAACCTCCCCAGGGAGGCAGTATGTGCTTACAATCACACAGCCGGTAAATGATGGCATGTGACTTCACAAACCGATGTTCTTTCCATGTAACAATATCAGGGGACACAGGCACAAAGCAAAGAGGAACAGGAGTGCCAACCCTGCTGTTTTCAGGTCCCACAGTCAGGCAGCTTGTCCCTTCTCAGACCAGCCCCATTCACTTCTCCCAGTCTGAGGGTGTCCTGGCTGCAGCCCAACAGGCTGAGTCATACTGAAGCCTGTTTGGCCAATGACCTGGGCCAGGCTCCATGGCTGCCATCTCAGTTTTGTGTCAGGGCAGAAGGGAGGGCAGTACAAGGCAATCCATCAGCAGTGCAATGAAACCCTGGCTGTATCCCCGGGATGGTGCCTGGGCACCTTCCCTGGTCTACTCGGCCTCATGAAGGTGGACTCACCGGGGGTGCTGCAGCACCTGCAGTAGGGTGCTCTTGAGAGGCACCCGGTAGAGTTCTGTCCCGTCTTCATCCTCAAAGTAGACCTGCAAGAATAATAGAGGAGCAGGAATCAGACACAAATACAAGGTCTCAGCAGCACTAGGCATGCTGAGGCCGAGTCTAGGGAAAAGCTAAAGAGATGGCAACTGTAATTAGTTGAATGACTCCTTTATAGAGTAGTGGAATATAAAGCACTCAGTCCTCGCGCGTGATACTAAGAAAGGTACTATGGGCTCCATTTTCCAAACACAGAACGAAGGCTCAGAGAAGGGAAATAACTCACCAATGACACCCACCTAGCAAACAGAGGAGCCAAGATTCAAGCCCAGACCCACGCATCTTCCCTTCCCTAGCAATTCAGTCCTAGACCCCTTCGATGTGGGGGAAGCAAGCTATGGTGGCTCAAAGCAGGGTAAGGACCCGAGGAGGAGGAGAAGGATGGTGGCCCTGTGCAGGTGTCCCAAGCCCGTGCAGGGTGAGGCTGGTAGGGAGGGGTGCCAGAGCCCGGTCAGTGGAGGGCAGTCTTGCTGGGAGCTGGCCAGCCTAAGCCAGGTGAGAAGGGTTACCTGGTAGGATGGCTGTGCAAGATGAGGTGTCAGAGCCCATGCAGGTGAGAAGGGTGTCCCTGCGTGGGGACAGCTGATACAGGGTGTCTGAGAATTAGACAGTACAGTATATCAAAGCTAATTTCCTTTTTTTTCCTCAAAGCTAATTTCCTAATTTTGATGGGTGAGATTATGAAGGAAAATATCCTTGTTTGTAGGAAACTGACACTGAAGTATTCAGGGGCAATGGGGCATCAGTTGGCATCTTACTCTCAAATGGTTAGTAGAAGAGAAAGTCTTTGTACTGTAAGATGTGATTTAAAAAAAGAAAAAAAAAGGTCCCAACAATGGAACAATGGAATATTATTCAGCCTTAAAAAGGAAAGAAATTCTGACACAGGCTACAATATGGATGAAACTTGAAGACATCAAGCTAAGTAAAATAAGCCAGATACAAAAGGATAAGCATTTTATGGTTCCACTTATATGAGGTTCCTAGAGTAGGCTCATTAATAGAGCAAGTGGAATGGTGGTTGCCAGGGGCTGGAAGAAGGGGAGAATGAAGTTACTGTTCCATGGGTGCAGAGTTTCAGTTCGGGACGATGAAGTGGAGACGAATGGTGGGAATGGTTGTACAAGCATGTGAATGTACTTAATGCTACGGAAGCAGGGACTTAAAAATGGTTCAAATAGGGGCACCTGGGTGGCTCAGTCGATTAAGCGTCTGCCTTCGGCTCAGGTCATGATCCCGGGGTCCTGGGATCGAGCCCCGCATCGGGCTCCCTGCTCCGTGGGGAGCCTGCTTCTCCCTCTCCCACTCCCCCTGCTTGTGTTCCCTCTCTCGCTGTGTTTCTATCAAATAAATAAATCTTTTAAAAAAAAAAAATGGTTCAAATAGTAAATTTTATGTTCTGTATCATTTGACAAAATTTTTTTTGAATTTTTTAAAGATTTTATTTATTTGACAGAGAGAACAAGAGCGCAAGCACAAGCAGGGGGAGAGGGAGATGGAGAAGCAGACTTCCCGCTGAGCAGGGAGCCCAACATGGGGCCTTATCCCAGGACCCTGGGATCATGACCTGAGCCAAAGGCAGACACTTAACCCACTAAGCCACCCAGATGTCCCGACACAATTTTTTTTTTCCTCAAGATTTTATTTATTTATTCATGAGAGAGAGAGGCAGAGGGAGAAGCAGGCTCCCAAGAAGCAGGGAGCCCGATGCAGGACTCAATCCCAGGACCCTGGGATCATGACCTGAGCTGGAGACCAGACGCTTAACTATCGGAGCCACCCAAGTGCCCACAATTTTTTTTTTTTTTAAAGCAGTAAAAACTTGCTCCCCTCACCCCCCTGCAAAAAATATCCCATCCAGGAACAAGGTAAAACATCTCTTACCTCTAAATTATCAGGGCAGTATTTCCGCTCTAAGTCCCAAGAGGGTGTTTCACCAAACATCACCATTAGATGATCAATAAACCTAAGGATATAACATGTACTTTCTAGGTATCAATAACTCATGATCTATTTTCCTACATCACAGTCCCTGGACACCCATTCAGAGAGCTATCAAAAATGTACAAAACATGAAATGCAGGCCTAAGCCATTTTGAGCCAAAACCATCTGACTTAAGCCAAAATGAATGTGTATTACTTGTCCTGTTATGACATAGTAATGTTCTTTAAACGGACTCAGGCTTAACATTCCTTACATTTAGCCACATTCTAAGCATTAACCCTAGGAAATCACATGTTAAAATTGCTAGTTATATTTTTTCTAATACACCCTTTAGTTACTATGCATATACTACCTAGAACAACTTCGTATCTCACCAGAGATATGTGTCAGTGCTTGACAAACAATACTGTGGTGCTCTACTTACTAGCCCAGTCAGGATGATGGTGAGACTTGTGTCTGTCATTGCAAAGCTAGTTATAGTTAGTAAAAGGAGAAATCAGCTCCAGGATAGAAAGGTTATGCCAAACCAGACTGTTAATCCTCTATTCTCTTCCCTCCTCAACCAAAAATCCACTTGTCCCTCTGCTGAGACAGTAAGGAAAGAGCATGCCAGCAAGAACAGAGGGCTCTTGGGCAAGTAAGTACCTGGAGTCCTCGTGAAAAGTAGCAATGAAGTCCGACTGGGCATGCTCCGGGTACAGAAAGAGCACGGGCCAGCTCAACCTGCCCTGCTCGTCTACCTTCAGCCTGGCTCCATAGGGGTTCTCCGAGCTGAGCCCATCCAGGAAAAGCTCACCTAGACCTTCTGAGTCTGAATCTTCATCCCGACCAGCAGCTTCAGAGACTAGCCTGATGTTCCTAGCCTGGATTAAAAACAGAAATACACACAAACCTTATTGTGTGGAAGGATGCAAGCCCATTTCAACAGCAGGGAAACCACCATACTGTGAGCTCCCTGAGGCCAGCTCTACACAATTCATCTTCATTACCCCTGAGGCCTAGCACCGCAGGGATAACTCACCTTCACCAGGATTCTAACACATGCTGGACCCTGTATCACAGAAAAAAGCTAGACATGGTTCCTGCCCTCAAGACCCCGCTCATGGTCTAGTGGGCAAACAACTATGGAAATAAGTACAACATAAGGTAAGAAGTGGAGTTGCAGAAATGCAGACCATCGATAATTAATTCACCCTGGGTACTGGAGATGACTGGGGAATACTGGGCCCTGAGCAATGACTATGAAAGGCAGAGAAGTTGGAAGGGTCGGGGGAGGATGGAAAGGCATTCACCACCAAGGAACAGAATATGCAAAGGCACAGATAAGATCAAGAGTGTAGCATATACGAAAATGGCAAGTGTGTTGGTTTAGCTAGGACATGGAATACTAAAAATAATGCACATTGACCTAATCTTGACTGTCTCATGGAAATAAAGATAAATCAAAGGTCTGAACAGAAGAGTTGTCTCTTTATGTATGTGTGTGGAGGCTAGCACACGAGGGGAAAGTTACATGCAATCAAAATTACTTTTGATTTGACAATGCTAAATCAGGGGTTGGCAAACTTTTCCTTAAAGGGTCAGATAGAAATATTTTAGGCTTTGTGAGCCAAATGGTCTCTGCTGAAATTAACTACTTGACTCTGCCACCATAGTGTGAAAATAGCCATTAAGTAACAAACAAATAGGCAGGGCTGTGATCCACTGGCTACAGATCCACTGGCTCCTGCTTTAAACCATCGGTAAAATATGGTTCTGTGTATACGACTATTAGAGTAATTCTTATGTACAATGAAGCTTGAGATGCAGGGTCAAACTAAAGGAGAGCGCCAAAATCAGATCTGTATGCGAATGGGCATTCCAATATTCTACATTTTAGAATGTGACTAAATCTCTCACTGTGAATGAGGATTAGCAAGAGAATCTGGAGTATTCCGTCCCACTCCTGTTAACAGATTGCTTGTTATGGGGAGGGACTAGTGGAGTGCATCTTAGTAGTGTGAAGTTCTCAAAGTCAACAAGTAACTTAAATGGTGCATAATTTAACTCAACAAAGAATGAAACCAAGAACCTACTCCACAATCTCATGGCAGGTGTCATTTCCCTTGTGGAGACCAAGCAAGCCAAAGCTCCACAGGTGACTTGCTGGGTATTCAGTATCCAGGTAAAAAAATAAGAGTTGGCTCAGGCTACATCCATTTAAAATGCAGGGAAGAAAGGACAGGGTCGAATTTTTGTTGTTGTTAAAGGAGCAACATCCTAAAAATTCAGATTTTTTCAGGATGCAGTGGCTAAGAGCAAGGACCTGGCTCTGATACACATTAGCTGTGTGAGGTGTCTTCACCTCCCTGAGACCACATCACCATCTAGCAAATCAGTAGCTAGAAGATCTACCTCAGAAGGCCACTGTGAAGATTAAATAATGCTCAACCCACAGCAACTATCCAGTGTAGCTTACCTGAGATCAACATATGTACACAAGCAGGAAAGCTGACTGAACTCAGGGGGTCTGGACTCCAGAGCCCCTTTAGCACAATGCTTCACCAAAGCAAAGAGAAAATGAACAAATTCATTCAGGTAAAGCATCCCAAGACAGTTTCCCAACAAGCTTAAGGATTAGCAAGACCATATGGGCCTGAGGTCTGAGAACTCACCTTGATGGCCTGGAGTAAAGCCTCGTTCTGATTCTGCTCCTTCTTTTCTTTCAACTTTGCTTTCCTGATATCCCTCTGCTCAGTTCTCTAAAAATGAAATTCAGACCCATCAGCTCTAGGGGGCTTGTTTCCTCTTCTGTCACCCCAGCCTGCTGCTTACTATCTCCAGTATCTGTCCAACCCAGGTTCCTGTGTCGAGCAATACCAGTGGCCTGATTCAGTTCAATTAATATTTTAAGAGTGCACGTCTGGTGCCAGGACTGGTGGCAGCAGAAATTTAAAAATGTATAGTTCCCATACCCATGGAGCTCACAGTCTACTAAGGGGGACAAACAATGAAATGTCCGTTATGTGTTACCCTGCCAATGTGAAGCCAGTGCTATAAAATACAGGAGTGATGGATTGTGCCCCACTGAGGTGGGTTTAGGTGGACATGGAACATTCCACCAGATGAAGGAGAAAGGGCATTCTAGGTAGAGGGACTGACATCAGGATCTATGAGGTATTTCAACTTCTCTGGGATGGCTGGAGTATAGGAAACACTGGAAAAACCCAGGGCAAGAACTTATCAGAGGCTCTGCCCTTTGCCCAATTATAATCCATGATAGAAAAACATCATCAGTCTACTTAATCTGGCAGAAATATAATTTAGATTTCCTTTTCTTGCAAATCTGCCCCAAACCAGTTGATTCTGCTCTTACCCTCAGAATCGTAGATTGACAGAGGTCAGCAAACTTTTTCTGTAAAGGGCCAGAGGTTAATATTTTAGGTTTTGCAGACCATGTATGCTCTCTGTCACAAATTATCTACTTTTGTTGTTTGTAACTCTTTAAAAATGTGAAAAACATCTTTAATTCACAGAATGTATAAAAACAGGCCACAGGCTAGATTTGGCCTGGGGGTCAGTTTGCTGACCTCTGATCTAAAATATAGTACCAACCATCCCTTATCCTCCCCACAAAGGCTAACACAGATCTTTTATTTCTCATGAACAAAGTCTACCCGTTCAGGAGGACAATGGCTGATAACTCTTGTCCATTCTTTCTCCAATCCAGTCTGCCAAAAGAGCTGCAAAACTCCTTTCTGCTGTTTGATTACACTATCCAGAGTACTACTCCACCCCACGGACACCACTAAAATCTATGTCCAATTTTGCCTTTACAGTTGAGCTACATCAAACCACAGTGTCTGGTCCACATTAGAGAATGATTAAGGACGACACAGACTCTGTCCCCTATTGTTTTTACTCTGATTCACACTATACATGTGAGTGATGTGGATTATGAAGTCTCATATGAAGTTTGGGGTCTTGGCAGCCACATAAAGTAGAATGACCGCCAGGTCAGAGGAGCCCTGAGCTGTGGAGTCTGCTGCCCTTTAAAAAAAAAAAAATCAACTTTGTTGAGGTATAATGTACAGATTTTAAGTGTATAGTTCAATGAGTTTAGACAAGGGTATACCTTAAGTACCCAACACTTCAATCAAGATGGGCATTTCTATCCCCTAGAAAGTTCCCTCATGCCCCTTTGCAGTCAGTCTCCCTCCTATCCCATCACTGATAGGTTTCTTTTTATACCAAGTAATATCCCAAAGTATGAGTATCACACTTTACTTATCTCTTACCTCTTGTTGGACACAAGAGCTGTTTCTGGATTACTATGAATAAAACAGGCTGTGACTATTATACAAGTCTTTTTATGAGCATGTTTTCATTTCTCTTAGGTAAACACCTCTGCACTTCCCGCTGTCCCCAACCCCTGGCAACCACTAATCTGCTTTCTGTCTCTATAGATTTGCCTATTTTGGATGTTTGATATATAGTCATACAATATGTGATCTTTTATAAATCAGGCTTCTTTCACTTAACATAGTGTTTTTGAGGTTCACCTACATTGCAGTGTATATCATACTTCATTCTCCTTTATGGCTGAGTAATATTCCATTGTATGAACATACCACATTTTATTTATCATCAGTTGATGGACATTGAGATTGTTTCTACTTTTTGGCCATTATGAACCGTGTTGCTATGAACACTCCTGTACAAGTATTTATTTTAATACTGTTTCAATTTCTTTGGGTATATACTTAGGAGTGGAAGTGCTGGTTCTTATGTTAATTTTGTAGTTAATTTTTTGAGGAACTGTCAAAATGGTTTTTTTTTAAGGATTTTATTTATTTATTGAGAGAGAGCGAGAGGGAGCACGAGCAGGGGGAGGGGCAGAGGGACAAGCAGACTCCCTGTGGAGCAAGGAGCCTGATGTGGGGCGCAATTCCAGGCCCCTGGGATCATGTCCTGAGCAGAAGGCAGACGCGTAACTGACCGAGCCACCCAGGCGTCCCTGTCAAACTGTTCTCTATAGTGGCTGTCATTTTACATTCTCACCAGCAACATGTGAAGGTTTCCGTTTCTCCACATCCTTCTCAACATTTGTTATTTTCCTTTAAAAAAAAATTATAACCATCCTAGCGTGAAATAATATCTCACTGCGGTTTTGATTTACATTTCCCTAATGACTAAGAATGTTAAGCATCTTTCATGTGCTTTTTGGCCATTTATGTATCCTCTTTGGAGAAACGTCTGTTCACATCCTTTGCCCATCTAAAAAATGGCGCTGTCTTTTAATTATTGAGATGTTAAGAGTTCTTTATATATTCTAGATAAAGGTCCCTTAACAGATATATGATTTATAAATACTCTCCCACCCTGTGGGTTGTCTTTTCACTTTCTCAATGGCAGCCTTTGATGCACAAGTTTTTACTTTTGATGAAGTCCAGTTTATCTTTTTTGTTTCTTGTGCTTTTTGTGTCATATCTAAGAAACCATGCCTAATCCAAGGTCATGAAAATTAATGCCAACATTTTCTTTGAAGAGTTTTATACTTTGTTCTTCGATCCATTTTGTATATAGTATGAGGTAGGGGTCCAAATTCATGCTTTTCATGCAGATATGGAAAAGACTATTCCTTCCCCACTGAATGGTACCCTTGTTGAAAATCAACTGTCTATAAATATGAGGGTTTATTTCTGAGCTCTTAATTCTATTACACTGATCTGTAAGTCTATCCCCTTCTGCCAGTACCACAATGTCTTGATTACTATAGCTTTGTAGTAAGATTTGAAATTGGGAAGTGTGAGTCCTCTAATTTTTTTTTTTTTTTTTTTAGGATTGTCTTGGCTATTCTGAGTCCCTTAAATTCATGTATGAATATTAGAATCAGTTGGTCAATATTCTGCAGAGCAGCCAATTGGAAATTTGGTGCAGACTGAGCTGAATCTATACACCAATTTGGGGAGCATTCTCATCTTAACAATATTAAGATCTGATCCATGGAGGTCTTCCATTTTTTTAGATTTAATTTCTTTCAACAGTGTTTGTATTTCAGATTATAAGTTTTACGCTACTTCTGTTAAATTTATTCCTGTTATTCTTTTTGATGCTATTGTAAATGGAATTGTTTTCATATTTGGAGTATTTACCAAAAGTCTATAGAATACAATTGGGTTTTGTATATTAATGTATCATACCAGCTTACTAATCTATTAGTTCTAATAGTTTTTTTAGTGAATTCCTTAGGATTTTCTATATACAAGATCATATCATTTGCACCTAAAGAGTTTTCCTTTTCTTCTCCATTTTTGAAGGATAGGTTTGCGGTATATAGAATTCTTAGCTGATAATCTTTCTTTCAGCACTCTGAATGTCAACCCATGGCCCTTTGGCTCCCATGGCTTCTGATGAGAAATCAGCTGTTACTTTTAGGGGAGGGGGCAGAGGGAGAGGGCCAGAGAGAATCTTAAGCAGGCTCCACGCCCAACACAGAGCCCTACACAGGGCTTGATCTCACAACCGTAAGTTCATGTCCTGAGCCAAAGTCAAAATTTGGATGCTCAACCAACCGAACCACCCAGGCATCCCTCAGTTGTTACTTTCATTGAGGATCTCTTGTATGTGAAGAGTCTCTTCCCTCTTGATGCTTTTAACATTCTGTTTGACTTTCAACAGTTTGATTATGATATGTCTGGGTGTAGATTTCTTCAAGTATATCCTACGTGGAGTTTAAGTTTCTTGGAAGGGTAGATTACTTTTTTTAAAATCAAATCTGGGAAGTTTTCAGCTATTAAATCTTCATATATTCTTTTGTCCCTTTTTCTTTCTCCTCTCCTGGGACTCCCATGTCTATGATGATATACTTGATGGCATCCCACAGGTTCCTCAGTCTCTCTTCGTGTTTCTTTTCTTTTTTAAAAAGATTTATTTATTTTATTTTAAAGAGAGAGAGAGAAGAAGAGAACATGGGTGTGGGGGGAGGGGTAGAGAGAGAGGAAGAGAATATCAAGCAGACTCCCCTCTGAGTGCAGAGCCTGATGTGGGGCTCAATCCCATGACCCTGAGATCTTAACCTGAGCTGAAATCAAGAGTCAGATGCCCAACTGACTGAGCCACCCAGACACCCCTCTCTTAATGTTTCTTTATTCTTCTTTCTATTCCTCACACTAGGTAATCACAATGGATCTATCTTCACAGTTCTGCTCTTGAGCCCTTACATGAACTTTTCAATTATTACACTTTTCAACTACAGAATTTCTATTTGATTCTTTTTCACAATTTATTGATAGTCTCTATTTGGTAAGACACTGTTCTCATATTTTTTTTTAGTTCTTAAGACATTGCTTTCTTCCTAGAACATATTTCAAAGTGTGGTTTAAAGTCTTTGCTTTTTAAGTCTCATGTCTGGGCTTCCTCCGGGACATTTTCTATTGATTTTTTTTCCTGTATATGGGCCATATTTTCTTATTTCTTTGCATTTTGTAATTTTGTAATTGAAATTTTGTATTGAAAACCAGACATTTAAAATAATACAATGTGGCAACTCTGGAAATTGGATTCTCTCTCTTTCCTCTCCAGTGTTTGATACTGCTGTTGTTACTGTTTAGGTACTTTCCTGAACTAATTCTGTAAAGCCTGTATTTGGTTTTATGTGACCACTAAAGTCCTTAATGATTGGACAGATTTCCCTGAATGCCTGAAGCCAAAAAGTGTCCCACTCTTAGCTGAGGGGCTCTCTCGTGCATATTGTGACACACCTTCAACACTCACCCAAACAGTTTACAATTCAGCCTCAGCCTTCACTTACTACTTTTACAGAGACTGCAAGTCAGCCAGAGGTCAGAGCTTAGGCCTTCTTAGATCCTTCCTGAGCACATGCATAGCCCTGGACACACAAGTGACCTTGCAGATCTCCTGGAATATGTTGGAGCTTTTCAAAGCCCCTGAAGAATCTCATTCCCCAGCTTTTCCTTTTAAATATTCTTCTAAACCTACTGTTTGCCCTGTTGTTCACTATCTCAGGCAGCTGCAATCTTAAATAACTGCTTCTAATTGTTTTACACATCCCTCCTTCCCAGCCCCCCGCCAAAAGCTTTTCATACTGGGATAGCTCCAAGACGAGTCAAATAAAATCCGCCTTATGAGTGGGGTCTTCTAGGAGACCACCCAGATGGTCCAATAATGGCAATTCCCTGGGAACGGGGCTTTGAACGAGCTCTAATCCAATCTGCCTCCTTTGGTGGCACTGGGCTGCTCATTTTCACCATGATTCTTTCAAGGCTACTGTGGTACCAGGGAGGGAGGAGATGGGAATAGGGAAAGTTAAAATGTCACAAAGCTTGCTGTGCTTATGCAGGTGCAGCCATTTTTCTTGAATAAACACTCCCCAGATTGCTGCAAGCCTTTGGCTCATTTCAGAGCTCTGAAAAAAGTTAGTGACTCTGACCATTTTTGCCAGTTTTTCATAGACTTTATGAAGTAAAGAATTTTAGGTCTTTATTTGGCCATTTTTGCTGATATCACTTCTCTTTACTGATTTATCTACTTGTTCTATCTCTCTTACTGAGAGACAGGGATGTTGACATCTACACCTATTTGTAGATTTGTCTCCCTCAATTTTTTTGCTTCTTATATTTTGAGGTTCTGTTATTAGATACGTGCATATTTAGAATTGTTAAATCTTCTTGATTAGCTGACCCTTTTATCATTTAACAAAGCCATGCTTTATTTCTGGTAATATTCATTGCCTTGATGGCTGTTCTGATTTTAATATAGGCATATAAGATACATTGTTTACATAAGCCAAGCACGTAGGAATCCAGAGTCAATTTATACTCAGATATAGAATAAACTGACACTCAGCAAGCAATGTCACCCATACCCAGTGTCAGGCTTTGGGGCCCTGAACTCTTTTTTTTTTTTAAGATTTTATTTATTTATTTCAGAGAGAGAGAATGAGAGAGAGCACATGAGAGGGGGGAGGGGCAGAGGGAGAAGCAGACTCCCTGCCGAGCAGGGAGCCCGATGCGGGACTCGATCCTGGGACTCCAGGATCATGACCTGAGCCAAAGGCAGTCGCTTAACCAACTGAGCCACCCAGGCGCCCGGGGCCCTGAAATCTTTAACTATGCATCTGTATCAGGGAAATATAAATCAAAACCACAATGAGATACCACCTCACACCAGTCAGAATGGCTAAAATTAACAAGTCAGGAAATGACAGATGTTGGCAAGGATGCAGAGAAAGGGGAACCCTCCTACACTGTTGGTGGGAATGCAAGCTGGTGCAGCCACTCTGGAAAACAGTATGGAGGTTTCTCAAAAAGTTGAAAATAGAGCTACTCTACGACCCAGCAACTGCACTCCTAGGTGTTTACCACAAAGATACCAATGTAATGATCCGAAGGGGTACATGCACCCTAGTGTTTATAGCAGCAATGTCCACAATAGCCAAACTGTGGAAAGAGCCCAGACACCCAACGACAGATGAATGGACAAAGACGATGTGGTATATGGGGACGCCTGGGTGGCTCAGTCAGTTAAGCGTCTGCTTTCAGCTCAGGTCATGATCCCAGGGTCCTGGGATTGGGTCCTGCATCGGGCGGAGAGAATATTTCTCCCTCTGCCTGCCACTCCCCAGCTTGTGCTCTTGCGCACGGCATGCACACTCGCTCATTTGCTCACTCTCTGACAAATAAATAAATAAATCTTAAAAAAAAAAAGATGTGGCATATACACAATGGAATACTACTCAACCATCAAAAAAAATGAAATCTTGCTATTTGCAACAACGTGGATGGAACTAGCGGGTATTATGCTAAGTGAAATAAGTCAATCAGAGAAAGACAATTATCATATGATTTCACTCATATGTGGAATTTAAGAAACAAAACAGAGGATCATAAGGGAAGAGAGGAAAAAATAAAGACAAAATCAGAGAGGGAGACAAACCGTAAGAGACTCTTCATCATAGTAGACAAACTGAGGGTTGCTGGAGGGGAGAAGAGCAGTAGGATGGGGTAACTGGATGATGGACATTAAGGAGGGTATGTGATATATGTAATGAGCACTGGGTATCCTATAATACTGATGAATCACTGACGTCTACCTCTGAAACCAATAATACATTATATGTTAATTAACTGAATTTAAATTTTTAAAAAGATATCTGCAAAAACAAACAAACAAAACAACAACAACAAAAAACTGCGCCTGTGCTACAGGATCTGAAAGCTTTCATTTAGGTCCACTAAGGGTTTTTCCGTGGATTAACTTGGCTATGTCCTTCCGCAGTAGCCCTTTAGACATTCTCTCCTATATACACCCCTTTTAGAAATTCTGACCCATACCCAGTCACCTAGGCTCAGAATTCTGTTACCGAGCCTTGTGAATCACCAGATTATCTACTTTTTCTACCATTTTATATAACCAGAATGACCTCTAAAACCTACCCCTTTGCATGGGAGCTACAGGCTCCCATAGCACTGAAAATTCCCCTTCCGTAGTGTAAGTAATGAAGACAGACTTAGACCAAGAATCAGACTGAAGTCTAGTTCTGGCTTTGTACTGAACAGACACGTAAGGCAGTACTGCATAGGATTCTAGAGCCAGACTGCCTGATTCTGACATCCATCTTCACCACAGCTATGTGACTCAGGCAGCTTTCTGATCTCTCTGTGCTTTAGCTACCTCACTACTGAGAGGTGAATTAGAATAGTTCCTACTTTATAGGGTTGTTGTGTGGTTTAAATGAATTCATAAATAAAAATAAAAATTTTTAAATAGCACCTGGAAGATACACACAGTAAATGCTAAATGCTGGACATTATTTTTGGTAGTGATGGTATTCTGTTATTATTATCAGTTGCTATTACGTGCATTTCATCAGCAAGTTATAGATGTCTTAAAGCTGGGAGTTACACAATATTGTAGAAACTTAAAGATTTGTTTAAATGTTCTTTTTATGGGCGCCTGGGTGGCTCAGATGGTTGGGCGTCTGCCTTCGGCTCGGGTCATGATCCCGGGGTCCTGGGATCGGGTCCCACATCGGGCTCCCTGCTCCTTGGGAGCCTGCTTCTCCCTCTGCCTCTCTCTCTCTCTCTGTCTCTCATGAATGAATAAATAAAATCTTTAAAAAAAAAAAAAAAGATTTGTTTAAATATTCTTTTTAAAGATTTATTTGAGAGAGAGCGTGGCATGTGCACGCATGAACAGGGGCAGAGGGAGGAGACAAGCAGACTCCCTGCTGAGTGGGGAGCCCAACACAGGGCTCGATCCCAGGACCCTGAGATTACTACCCAAGCTGAAATCAAGAGTCGGACACTTAACCGACTGAGCCACCCAGGCGCCCCTGTTTAAATGTTTCCGTCATTTCCTCTGCTCTCTTTCAAGAGATTTACATAGTGTGCAGACTACATTATGGCAGTCAAGTGCCATTTCTTATTTATTCAAATCACAATAGCCACAAATTTATCAACTCCTTACTGTAAGTCAAGAAATGTGCTAACATACACACACACTTTCTCATTTAATCCTCATAAAAACCTCTGAGGTATATATTATGCACACTATTTTCAAAAAGGGGACTGAGTTTCAGAAATATCAAGGACTTGCCGATGGTTATGCTCTCTCCTTTCTGGAATGTTCTGCACTCCTCACCCCCACCCTCCAGTGGAGTAAACTCTTGCTCAGTCTTCAAGAGATCAGACATCACCTCTTTCGACAAACCTTCTCTGTTATCAGCAGATACTACTACTATATATACTATATATTCTTGCTTGCCTCTGTCACATTATAACTATTTATTTATGTCTTTATTTGTTTGTGTCCTCCAGAGTTCCAAAGGTAGGGAATAGTTTTGGGTTTTGTTTTTAAAGAAGAAAAAGTTGACAATGACCCAAAAGACACAATCTGGGAAATACTAATTAATTAGTGCTAAGTAATAAATGCCAACTGGCTAATGATTTTGCCAACCTTCAGCTTGTCTGCTTTAGCCCTCATTTCCAGAAGCTTCTTCTCTCTGGCATCGATCTGCAACCCTTCATCACACCAGTTCACAGCCTCAGCAAAGTTTTTCAGTTCCAGATGGCATAAGGCACCTGTAGAACCCAGAACCCTTAGAATACGTGGACAATATGCATGGGAAGAGCTCTCCTTGAGCAGGAACCACCCCCCCACCCCCATCCCCAACCTCCACCAGCTACCAGCCAGCATTCTAAAGGGACAACAGATGATTAAAGCCCCTTCTACTGCATTCCCCAGACAAGGAAGAATATTTTTTGTATCTTAGATCAGAAAGATCTCTAGGGCCCATTCAGCTTAAAATTCCTGTAAGCCTCCCTGACATTAAGGGCTTTTAAAGTAGGGAAGGCTACAACCTAATGGCAAAGAGCACAGGGTTTAGAGTCAGACAGATCTGGGCTGGAAATCTGGCGCTATTGTTTACCAACTAGGCATTAGATAAAATACTGACCATCTCCAAGCTTCAGGTTCCTCATCTGCAAATCAGAATAAAGTCCATCTCAGATATTTAATAGAGACAGAAAACAGAACTGACCTCAGCCATTCATCAAAGCAGTGGCAAGACCAAAGACATTAGGTCTCTCCTAAAATTGTTCCTAATGGCTTCCAGGTTAAGCTGCCTCTCCTCTCACCATGTTTATTCTTCTCCAGTTAGCCTCTTTAGACTTTCCACAGAATTTCCAAATATCAGAACTGTAAGGGCTTAGATGTCAACAGAATCCACCCTCATCTTCCAGAGATGAGCAAACTGACACTCAGAGTGGGTATCTTGCCAAGGTCACATGCTGAGGTAAAACTGACAATTCAAGATTTATAGACTCCAGCTTGTCCCAATTCCACAGGACTACACTGACTTTACTTGCCAATCTTTGAACAGTACCTTCGTTCCCTACAGCTGAGGGACATGGATCTACCTATACAAACCCCTAACTATGATACCTAAAGATGCATAACTTTGGTAAAGCATTTGGCTTATGATAAAGCAGTCGATCATGGGACTATAAGGAAGATTAATATGTGATGAATAAATTAAAGTTTACAAAGCACCTCTGAGCTTCTCAAAGAAAAGGTAAAGTATAAAAGTAATATAAGCACTATTATTACATAGAAAGGTCAGACCACAAAAGAAAATATAATCTGGGAACATCTCAGCATCAGAGTTATCAGCAAAGGTCCATAACTTATCTTTTAATTAACATGGCATTTGAAGATCTCGCCTTTCAATTAGCTAACTTGAAAAAAAATTTAGAATGTGGCTTTTGGAACTGCTTTATTTTAATTAATTTTATTGCTAATTTAAAATGAGGAGTTTCAATTTCTCTACAAATTCTTAAAATATAAAAAGTTATATTATTCTCTGGGAAATTCTTTTAAAAATGGCATGTTGCTATTGATAAGGACCAGGAACTTAATATCAAGATTGCAAAAATAAGGTGACTTCATTAGTATCTTAGCACCTTAATATCGAAGCTTAAAATGCCTCAACTTTTGGTGCAGTGAGTGCCAACTTTTCCATAAGGACAACCATACTGTAGTTCTACAATACTTACCTCTTACTATTGCTTTGAGGTGGCAGGGTTTTAGCTTTCTGGCAGCTGTCACATCATTGAGAGCAGAACGAAAATTGCCTAACAGGCACCATTTAGTAAAAGAGAAAACAAGACTGAGATCAGAATATTTGCAAAATTTCATGTGTAGAGACATAGACATTCTTGTATAGTCTTAGAGAAATATAAATCAGAGCAACAGTTTTTAGAAAAAAATATAGTTGTGCTCATCAAGTCTTAGAAATATTTGTAACACTAGAAGCCCACAGAACAACTATAAATGGCTAGCAAGCCCATGAAAAGACGCTCAACATCACCACTGACTGAAGAAATTAAAATTAACATGGAACTGGTAAAAATTAAAAACAGGTAATATCCAGGATGGTTGAAGACATGGGAAAAGGGCACTCTTAAGGGTAAATCAGAGAGCAAATTAGCATGCACTTGTGCGTATACTCTGACCCAACAATATTCTTCTAACAACTTATCCTTAAAAATACCTGGACAAATATGTAAGGATAAATGTGAAAGCATGTCAACTGCAGCATTAGTTTTAACTGTGAGTTGTGAAACACTGGTGATACCCTAAATATCCTCAATGTAGTAATGATTAAATGAACTATGGTAAATCCACACCACTAAATACTATGCAACCATTAAAAAGGGTAAGATACATGTGCACGTAAAAGGTGTGACAGGATGCCTGTGTTTTAACTGGTGGTTCTATGTGTATAATGTCAATGTGTAAAATATCAATATTTTTTGTAAAACCAATCTAAATATACAGACATATGTACACACACATATATATTTGTAAAAAAAAAAAAAGGTGTATAGGGGCATCTGGGTGGCTCAGTCAGTGAAGCGTCTGCCTTCTGCTCAGGGTCCTGGGATCGAGCCCACATCCGGCTCCCTGCTGAGCGGGGAGTCTGCTTCTCCCTCTCCCTCTGCCCCTCCCCCCAACTTGTACTCACTCTCTCAAATAAATAAAACCTTTAAAAAAAAAAAAAAGGTGTGCAATCAAACACACTGTTATCCAAACTAGAAGGGCATGAGGTAGATTTTCACTTTCTAGTTTATACTGTAAATATTAACAGTTTGGTATTTACTTATTATTTTCACTTCTAAAAATCTAGTGCAGAGGTCAGCTAAATTTTTCTGTAAAGGGCCATATAGTAAATATTTTAGGCTTTACAGGCCACATATGGTCTGTTACACATTCTTCTTTGTTTTACAATCCTTTAAAAATATAAAAGGCATTTTTAACTCACAGGAAGCCAGGAATCCAGATGTGGCCTGTGAGCCATAGTTTGCCAAATCTGGCTTCAGCCTTAAGAATAATCAGAATTCGGGCGCCTGGGTGGCTCAGTTGGTTAAGCAACTGCCTTCGGCTCAGGTCATGATCCTGGAGTCCCGGGATCGAGTCCTGCATCGGGCTCCCTGCTCAGCAGGGAGTCTGCTTCTCCCTCTGCCCCTCACCCTGCTCATTCTCTCTCTCTCATTCTCTCTCTCAAATAAATAATAAAAATAAAATCTTTAAAAAAAAAAAAGAATAATCAGAATTCGTAGGAAAACTTTATCACTAACTGTGTTCATTACTGCATTATTTTAAAAAACCTAAAAGCAGCTGTATACTCAATAACAGCAGAACAGTAAAGCCAACTGTGTAAACACTGGTATGTCCAAATGATGCAACTTTATGTAGCTATTAAAATAGTATTCAAAAATATCTTGACAGGTGGTATTGTTTATGTTATAAAATTAAGTGAAAAGAACTGAATACAAAACTGGAAGAACAGCATGATATTAACTATGGAAAAAAATGTATATAAAAGAGATCCAAAGACTTCTGGTTAAGGGTGGTAGATTGAACATAAGGATTTAACTAAACCTCCACTACTCTTCCCCTTCCCCCCAAAATGCCATAAACCCACAGAGACAAGAGTAAGAACATAGAACACATTTTAAAGCTCGAAAACAAAGGGACAATGGTTAAATGACTAATCAGGCCTAAGAAAACTGAATTCTAAGCCAGCAGAGGGAAAGCCCCAAAGCTGTCAAGTTGTACTGCATAACCTAAAAGTACCCAGGACTACAGAACTGACAGCACCAGGTACCTTCTGGAAGTGTGGGTCAAGGTTTTTTCCATTTAGTGCACTTGGAATCAAACCTGATTCTGCATACTAATCCTAGCACTGTGCACCCTTACACAGTTCATTTTACTAAATTTACTGTACTTTACTGTAGTTGTGTACTCTGCCGACTAGGGATAAAGCTGTTAACCTCACCTACCTTACATAGGTGCTGTGAGGTCAAGAGGGATAACAAATGTGAAAGTGCTCTGTGAGCTGTACCGGTGCCATCTCATTTAAGGAATGGCTGTGATGATTATGCCTCCGCTCCTCTGGCATCACACACACGGTTTTCTTCTCGTAAGGTGGCGCTTCTGGGCTGATTAGCCCTACAGTCTTTAAGTTCCCCAAAGAAAGGAACTATGTAGCTGTTGCTCACAGTGCAATGCCTAGCACACAGTAAACGCTTTATATATATATATATATATATATATTAAAAAAATATTTTTTAATATATATATTTACTGATTGAATAAAGAAATGAACGCAACTCCTTCTGGAAAAGGCCAGATCTTACTCATCTCTGCGACACCACTGCCTAGCACAGAACAAAAACTCGAGTTCATCTGCTGAAGAAAATGTATTCCTCCAGAAGTTAGAAGAATGGGTTTCTAGTCCAAGTTCTTGCACTTATCAGAGGGACCCTCTCTGGGCCTATGTAAAACGAAGGGGTTGGTTGGCCCAAATAATCTCTAAAGTTCTATACCACTCTTACTATTTAGAATTTTATAATGAAACATGCAAAAGGAGACAACAGTTGGAGCAGACTATGGTTGGGGAGAAACTCTGATCAAATGGTGATGAGTCCCAGCAGACTCATCCCAGCTAGACTGCAAGGCTTACTCTCTACCAGCCCCTCAGAGGCCCCAGGTCTCCTTAATAATGAGTTTCCCAAAGTCACGTGTGCAGAAGAGTCCTGCATGTTAGTTAGTGTTACTTGAAAAGGGGGCTTACAAAACTTAAGAATCAAAGGGTAAAGTTCTTTGCTGCAGGTCATCTCAGCATCTTTAACATACTGTGCACTGCAATCTCCAACAAAGCAGGAGCACTTTCCAAAGAATATTTTTCACTTCAGGTTCCACAGAATACTCTGAAAAATTCTCCCTTTAAGATAGTTTCTCTCACACAAACATCTCTTTGCTTGAATCCTTCTAGCAACCTTCAGAAGAGGATAAAAGGCCAAAAACCAAAACCACATTTTTTTTTAAGAGAAAAGCATTTGGGCTAAAAAAAATCTCAGATCATACCAATTCATGTATTAAGGTGTGTCACTCATTTGGTTCAGAGAGTAAGAATTATACAATCTATCTGGTTTCCCTTTTCAGCCAGTCTACCTGGAAGATCAGTGTTCAATTAGAGTAAACTAGCCTAGCTTTCTGGGATAAGCAGCTCTTCCTCTGACACTCTCAAACTCTGCACTAGCCATCATAATGGCTTTTACCGTAAGTTAATTCTTTAGAAAGCACTAAATAATAGAATAAATTACCTAGATAGTACCGTGCTGCTGCCCGGTTGGTATAAAGGACAGCATTCAAATCAGGGTCTGTGCATTTCTTCTTTAATCCTTCAGTGTACGAAATCACAGCTTTTTTATAGTCTTTTTCTTTAAAGTAATCATTGCCCTCATCCTTATAGGTCTTGGCCTGTTCTGCAAAGAAGAGAATAAATAATCACTATTTCCTATTTTTTTAAAGTCTCATTAAAAACAGATTCTAAGTCATACAATAATTTTACATATGATAAACCAAATAAAAAGAAACCAATAATGGAAACTCCAAAATTAATCCTGTAAAACTGGGTATCAACATGGAGAAGCAAAGTCATGTGTACTTAATGCCACAATCAATTCCAAATATCTTACAAGGTAGATTGGATCCTTACCAAAAAAAAAAAAAGATGCATAAAGAAAAAAAGTATATTTATCCTACCTCTTGAAGGACTTTTTTTTAATTACTGAGGAAATAGAGGGAAATTATACTTCTGTTTTTGCTTATATTTTATTCCCTGGAGTGCAAATTCCCCTCTCCTCACCTTAGTAAGAGCCTACAAAACTGTTAAGAATCAGTTCAGATTTCCAATCCATTGTGAGCCCATTCCTACCTCCCCCACTTCAGTGTTCCCGCCGCACCTAGTACATAGCCACATGTTGGCACTTATCACATACACAAGGGACAATCTGGCTATCCACTGGAGCATGAGATTTTTTTTTTAAATGGAGCATGAGACCTTTGAGGGCAATCTTACTCATCCCTTTATCCCCAAAGCCTAGCATTTAGTAGGTATGGGGGGGGGGGGGGAGTATATGTGGAATAAATAGTGATGAGTTAGCCCAGGCTAACTACTTCTTGTTATCAGAAACTTTCTGACTCGCTCTTTACCTCAATTCAATGGAGACACAAAACAAATATTAGACTCATGTAAGATACCTTCTGGAGATCGCTCTTCATCAAAAATAATGGACTGAAGGCAAGCCAAGTCAGGATTCTCATTGGGATCAATTTCAGATGGCGCTTTCTTCATAAATAGGGGGACCTTTTCAAATTCCTGGAGATGAAGAGAAGAATGAACTATAGGAATAAGATTTTCCACAGGGTAGATCCAGTTCCACATCTCTGTATCAAAGTTTTCTCTCTCACCATGATTTGCAAGTCATGGTTAGCTATCTCTCTCCCTATCCAGGCCTCAGTTTCCCAAGTGTAAGATGAGAGCGCAGGGCAAGGATCTCTAACGATTCTTTCGGTGCTCACAATCTTCCAAGGGCGGTGGGAATCACCATTAATGGGACGCTCTTATGTTCCCGGCACTTCACCCACCACATCCCTTCATTTTCGCCGCAATGCTACGAGACTGTGGCTCTAGTTAGGGAAATCTTACAAATGAGGACACGGGCTCAGAGAAGTTAAGTAACTGAGCCAGCAAATGGTGGAGTCTCAGGTCTGTCTGACTCCAAAACCTAGACTCCTAAATGCACTGGCAGCTGAAGACTGCCCTCAAAAACCCGAGTCCCATTTTCCAACAGTCCCAGGTGGAAACCACCTTTCCTCTGGCAGGGCCGGGGGGCCCGGGGGTGCGGGAGGCGCCCGCCCGCCAGCCCCAGGCGTCGGGACGACGCCCCCACACACGTGCGGGGCCCCGGGCCGCCCACCTCCTCCCACTGGTCCTCGTGGAAGCCGCCACGGTAAGGCTGGCTCTGGAACTTTTCTAGGAACGAGTCCATGGCATCTTCGCCGGCGGCGTCCGGGTCAGGTAGCTCCATGGCGACTCCTCAGCCCTCCCGCCACGGTCAGGGTGGCGAGAACCGCGCGCCCACTTCCGGCAGCGCGGGTGCCTTTCCGTCAGTCCTCCGGGCCGCGCCCGCCCCCGAGCCTCGGGTTCCGCCCTTCTGGGGCCCGGCCGCCGGCTCCGCCCCTCCCCGACCAGCACCGCCCCCGCCCCGCCCTCCCCTCAGCGGGCCACCGCCCCGCCCCGCTCCGCCCCCGAATGTTTAGGGTGGTGGATAAACCCGGCGCCCCACAGTGCCCACTATCACTTAGTTCATTTGTGTGTGTGTGTTTTTAAAGATTTTATTTGACAGAGAGAGACACAGTGAGAGAGGGAACACAAACAGGAGGAGTGGGAGAGGGAGAAGCAGGCTTCCCGCTGAGCGGGGAGTCCGATGTGGGGCTCCATCCCAGGACTCTGGGATCATGACCTGAGCCGAAGGCAGATGTCTAACCCACTGAGCCACCCAGGCGCCCCTCATTCGCTCATTTGTTCAGCCAGTCAATACATCTTTCCTAAGCTCTTTGTGTGTTCAGGCCTATTGTGGTCGCTGGGTAAACCCCGCTCTCCAGGAGTTGATAAGATAGTGGGGAAAGACAGACAGTAAACAAATAAGATGTAAGAGGTTGTCAGGTGCTCGAAAAAACTATCGGGGAAAAGTTTTTATTTTATTTTTTTAAGATTTTTTTGAGAGAGAGAGAGAGAGAGAGTGCGCATGTGTGCAGGGGGAGGGGCAGAGGGAGAGGCAGAATCCCAAACCGACTCCGCGCTAAGCAGGGAGACAGATGCGGGCTCAACTCACGATCCTGAGGTCGTGACCTGAACCGAAATCAGGAGTTTGAGACCCAACGGACTGAGCCACCCAGGTGTCCCTAATGAGGGGGTGGGGGTGCAGTTTAAACTGGGTATACATGCATTCAAGCAAAGGAGGAATCCCAGAGGGGCCAGGGCCTGTCTGGGGAGGAGCATTCTTTAGGGAGGGGACTGGCAGTGCCCAGCCCCAGGGAGGGGAGCTGGGGGTGGGGGTGGTTGGAGCAAAATGAGAAGGAGGGTGAGTAGGTGAGGTAGGAGGGATGATGGGTAGTGATTCTGAAGACTTGGGTCTTCCTAAGAGTGCAGTGGTACCTTCTGAAGAGTTTCAAGAAAAGGGGCTATGTGATCAGCCATGCCTATTTCTGAGGTTAACCACCTCCCTATCCACCCCAGCTGAGATGGAAACAAGATCTCCAGGCCGGGTGCGCCCTCCAGCAGCCATGGGTGCTATAGGCTCAGGGAGCCCACAGCCTGGTCTAGAAGGATAGGCAGATAGGCAGATAGGCAGCAGGCCAATCTAAAGCACTTCCACAAGTCTGCACAGTGGAGGCACAGAAGGGTGGGTGTTACCTCGGGGAGTCAGCAAGATTTCACAGACCCAAGTTCTCTGCAGAGCTGAGAGCAGAGATGAGGAAGGTCTCCCCAGATGGTTGGAGGCTGGAAGGGAGTTGAGCATTTTAGGCAGCTGTCAGAGTCCCTGTGCAGAGAGGCATGGTGGTGTGCAAGAGCCTGGCATACTGGGTACCATAAAAGTCAGGAGGAAAGGCCAGCAAGATGAATGGAGGCCAGAGGGCAGTCAGGCCTTTATCTTGTAGCCCTTTATCTTGCAGAGGATAGTGAGCCAGTGATAGACCTAAGGGCAAATTTGTCTTAGGAAGGCCTGGGTTGCCGGGTGAAGGATTGATGGGGGGAGGCTGGATTAAGAGATTGACAAGGCTGCTGATGAGAGAGACCAGGGAAGAGAAGAGATGGGAGGCCCAGCAGTGGAACTGGCAGGCTTGGTCATGATCTGATCCCAGGGTGAGAGATACAGCAGGGCTAAGGATGACGTACAGAGGGCCATGAGCCTTCCAGGACCACACCTGTGTCTTTCCCCTTCTAGCCCACCCATGCCCAGCAGAACACCTGGTCCAAGGGCCTCCTCTCCTCCAAATCTGAGCCTCCTTTTCCACACTTTCTCCTGCAGCCTGCTCCCTAATGGTTCCCATTCTTACTCTCCTCTTCATTGTCTTTTCCCTTCTTGGGTACAGAGCCTACAAACCCTTTGGCTTCCATGTTTTGATTCCTATAAAACGCTGTGAGGTAGGGCGCCTGGGTGGCTCAGTCATTAAGCGTCTGCCTTCGGCTCAGGTCATGATTCCAGGTCCTGGGATCGAGCCCCGCATCGGGCTCCCTGCTCCGCAAGAAGCCTGCTTCTCCTGCTCCCACTCCCCCTGCTTGTGTTCCCTCTTTTGCTGTGTCTCTGTCAAATAAATAAAATCTTAAAAAAAAAAAAAAAACAAAAACCTGTGAGGCAAGAATTCATTTTACAGGTGATGATGGGGGAGGCTCAGGAAGTGAGGGAAGTGACTTGAGTGCTCTTGGGCCCTTCCCACTCAAGACTACTTGGGGGCCTTGGCCAATTACTGACACTGTTAGCCTCTGTTATGCTTCGAAGCCACATGCACCCAGAATGTGGCAGCTGTCGATTGTCAAGACCAGCCCAGACCTAGGTTCTGGCCAATGAAAGCAGCAGTGTCTTTGGGTGGAAAGGGCTTCGACATGGGAGTTGGGAGACCTTTGGGACCCACATTTCTATTGATTCTCTTGCGTGATCTTGGACAAGGCCCGCTCATCGTCAAGCCCTGTCCTCACCTGTAGAACACAGGCAGTAAAGCCAGCCTGCCTTCTTCATAACTCCATATGGCTGCTGTGAGCCTCCAAGCAGGCCATGCTCGTGAACATTCTTGGCAATGGAAAAGGTTATGCACATGGACCACCCCCATTTCCTGCTCCCTCGTAGGCCCTGATGGTCTTTGCCTATCATTTATTGGCAGATGATTGTGTGGTCAACTTCATGGGTTCCTCATCCAAGCAGGAGCTTAGATGTACTCTACACCCTCGCCCAAGGAATCTCACCTCAGCCCTGTCTGCGAGGAATCCCAAACCTGTTTCCATTCCAAGTCCCTCTGCCGAGCTTCCCACTGTGCAGCCAGCCACCCAGCAGATGTCTCTACCACTGTGACGCCCAGCCCCTCAAGCTCACCACATCCAGCCTGAATTCCTCTCCCCCTGAACCTGCTTCTGGTCCTGAGAGACCACCCAGTGGGGGACACCCTTGACCCAGTCATCAGCCCAGAAATGCAGGCACCACCCTCAGCACTTCACTCTCCCTCCCCCTTTCTCCATCCTGTCAACCACCAGGTTCTGAAAATTCCTCTTCTCCCATCTCCTGAAGGTCCGGTCTCCCTCTCCATCCTACCCTGCTGTCCAGACTTCCATTCCTTCCCCCAAGCCTCCAGCCAAGCCTCCCTGTGTCCTTGTTCACTGCCCTCCCCCCGCTTTCCTTCCACCACAGAGTGTTCTTCCCCTCCCTTTTATCATTTATTCCCCTTTATGTCCCAGAGCCCTCACTCCCTCCCACCACTGTGTGTTTTAATGTGTATTTTCAGTTAAACAAGCGGCCTTTCTTTTGTGCATGCATTTTTTTATGTACTTTCCTCCTCAGCAGGAGGTTTTAGGTCCCACGTGTTGCACCACATACCCCCTCGGCCTCTAACTGCTGCACGGGCTCCACGGTGCCCATTCCCTCCCCGACCAGGGATGCCCAGGCTGCCTCCTCTCCCAGGCAGTACAAATAATGCTGCAGGAGACTTCCTCACACGTCTCTTTTACGGACCTGTGGGACGAGCTCCAAGGTGTGTGCTCATGAGTGGAATTGCCAGGTGACAGCATGCATAAACTTAGTACCACTGAACAGTGACAGATTCGTGTCCAGAGAGCTGCAGCCATCCGCCCTCCCACCAGCCGTGTCTGTGGGGTTCCTGATCCTCTAGAGGAAGCAGCTTTCTAAAGCCAATATTTGCACACATCTCTCCCTGGCTTACCACCACACCATGCCTTCCTGCTGCTCCCTGAAGTCTCCCTCCTTCACACAGCCTCCAAGGCCTTAGGGACCTGGCCCTGGCCCTGATCTCCCCCCACACACACTCTAGGATCCACTGAACCTACGTATCAGCAGTTGGTCCTCGGTCCTGTGTGCCTTGCTCTCCTCCATATACGCCCACCATGTGGTCATCTTTCCAAGCCCCTAATGGGGGGTCTTGTCTCTGGGAAGCCTTCCCTGACACCCCAACTCCCTGCTGGCCTATGTACATCCTTTGGACTTCACAGCTCCCATGAGTTCCTTCATCACCGCACTAGGGTGTTGGTGTCTTTCCATGTCTCTGATACTTCCATTAGACCAAAGTGTCTCAACCTCAGCACTTTCGACCATTTGGGATGGATAATTCTTCACTGTGGGGCCTGTCCTGTGCACTGTAGGATGTTTAGCAGCGTCTCTGGGCTCCATCCAACAACGAAAAATGTCTCCAGATATTGCCAAATATTCCCCACAGGTCAAAATCACCCCTTTTGAGAAGCCCTGCTTCAGAGTATGAATTACCAGGGCCTGGGACTGGTCTTGTTCTCCTCCAGCACCCAGAGCAGGCCTGGTCCAGGTTAGGTGCTCAGTGAATGTAACCCGAATGAGAGACAGCCAATCTCCGAGCAGAGACCCAAGAGTGGGACTCAGAGGTCAGGGCTCCAGGATGTGCCGATGTCATGGGGTGGGAGAGTCTCTCCTTTTCCTTCCCCTAAAGCCACTCCAATCACCATCCCCCTTTGTTCTTCTACCCTCCCTGTGGGGGAGGGGACACTGAGGCAGGCAGGAGACTTGCTCTGTGGCCATGAGGAAGCCACTTCACCTCTCAGAGCATGGCTTCCTCACCTATAAAATGTGGACAAAACAGCCTGTGTGAGTCTGTAGATGTTGACCGAGTCAACAGTGAAGGCCACGCTCATCTTGCCGATGAGTCGCACAGAGCCACAGCGCCTCCCATGAGGAAACACTCACAGGGAGAGGTAAGCCACGTGGCATTTATAGGGGCATGACTGTGGCCTTGGCCACCCCTGAGGAGGGCTGGGGGCTCAGGGACATCACTGCTTCAAGGACATCTTCCAGGAGCCCAGGGCCTGCATGATCCAGGAGCGCCGCTGGTGGGAAGTGGGCAGGTTCTCACAGCTGGG